TCTTGTGAAGCCCGGCTTCACGTGTTTCTCGTCCAGGCCCGGCCTTGGACGAATTTCCGTTATTTTTATAACCGCCCGCGGATTGTTCCGGCGGACGTGAATGCTCAAGACCGGCTTGATTGCATTTCGCTTCGTCGTGCAGCCAGGCTGTACGCGAGCACACAAGCATTTTCGGTGCTGAGCGCTTGCAACCGCCAGCACTGCTTGTCGCGTCGTCAACTCCCGGAGTTGACGCGCTATTGTCACCTTGACGCCTTTCGGCGGAGCCCTTGTCAGCCCCGGGAGTTGACACGCCGTATACCCTCGACGCCGTTCGGCGGAGCCCGTGTCAACTCCCGGAGCTGACACGCCGACATCACAGCTACTGTTTGTAGCTGGAGTCCCTTCCATATCGGATGCATCAGTTGCAGGAACTGATGCGTCGCTGTCACAGACCTTTTCTGTGACCGAAACGCTTCCATACTTAATGTACGGCTCCCTGAGTCATTGACGTTTCAGCAGCGATAATGGAAGAAGTAGATAGACTAGCGAACGAAACTACTAACACCTAACGGAAATTTGGCTTTCGATCGATAAAAAATTCTACATGCTGCACGGATCTCATGTTCGTGGAGTGGCAAAAGGAGCCGTTGAAAATCGAGTACAAAATGCACTAGGAAAGAGTTCGGACGGTGGACCGACGAGGATCATTGAGAAGCCGCCACTGGCAAAGGTTAGCGGTGGCCCCCAAGGCTTTTTTTTCTTCAATTTCAATATTCCTGGTACGACGACACCAAAGCGCGGAAAGACCCTGCTGGCATCAACAGAATCATTGGGTGGGCTAACCCCGCGCTGTTTAGTTTGCTTTGCTTCAATAATTTATCGTGGTACACCGACGGCACCTTTCGATGTGCACCCAATAACTTCATGCAATGCGTCACAATTATGATCTCTGATCGATCCAGTAAGGTGTTTCTTCCTGTGATTCATGCGCTCACTACGTAGCTGACTACAAAAACGTACCTTAAACTACTTCGTTGTGTCCAAGATTCAGTAGGAAGCAAACTCGTTCCGAAGAATGTAGTAAGCGACTTCGAGAGGGCGCTTATTGGAAAGATCCGTACGTTCTTTCCGGATGTCCGCATTATAGGCTGCTTATGTCACTTAAGGCAGGCATGTCACCGCTAAATGAAGTGATATGGATTATCAAATCAAGAGGCTAAAGTGGCTATGTCACCTAACGTGTTCGACGTATTAACAGTCATCGACCCCAGCAAAATTGCCGTACAAGGAATTGCATGGGTGAAGTCAAAGATACGCCAAACATGTGAAGCCAAGAAATTGGTCTATTTTCAACGCAAATGGCAAACATTTTGGATATTTCAGCGCACCTGGATGAATGCATATCCACCTACGTTCTGGAACGTATACGGCATGAGGCGGCATATTGTCAATCGAACCAATAATCCATTGGAGCGCTTTCACCGTGAACTAAACAAAAGCCTCAGGCCTCATCCAACGATGAAGCAGTTTGTAACTACTTTGGAAATCCAAGCTCGCGAATACGTGGTTCAACGCAATGTCGTGATAGCCGGAGTAGCTGTTCCACCTTCGCGATCAGGATTCGTACTGCCAAAAGCAACCAGATTGCCGAATGTGACAAATATCGATGCTTCCACTTCGAGCCTCGAAAGTGATAGCCATGTAGTTAACGAAGAAGCAGATTCTGAGCGGTACAGCACGGATATGTCCCCGACGAGTGAGGAAATTGATGGCAAGGAGGCTATCTATGAACAGGACATCTCGTTCGAATAAGAGGGTGATGTCTAGTGAAACAGTAGTAACAATTAAATTTAAAATAAAACATACTTATCGGAGAAAGATTTTATTTAGTAGTTATAATCACTGACGTCAAATGGAGGACCTCAATGCTTGTGATGTCGTCTGTCGTAGTTGCATAGAGAATACGCTCACGTTGCCTCACTCGGTGAGCCTTGGTACCAACTAGTTCATGGATTTATTTTTGCTAAATACCCCACACTTCGAAGTACATGCAGTCTTGCACCATCAATGACATCTTACTCGCCCAGTAGACTAACATCAATCCGAGGATACCGCGCTGCAAAATTGGCCGAGTGATTATCTACATGCTGCATTGAGGTTGCCTCTAGAACCCCCAGTATGATCAGCACCGTGCGTTCATAAACACAAGCAGCTTCTATGGTTACCTAAGGAATAATTTACGTATGTGCTGTTGTCAAACAAACGTGAAAGGTATGCTTGTAGTATCGCATACCTGTGAAACGGGCTCAGACGGCAGACATCTTATTGTTGATGCGTTATGCCACGTCGCTTATCGCAAGTTTGCGCACTATAGTCACCTAGACCTCGGTGCCCTCCATCGATAGGGTGTACCTTGTGCGTCTGCTCAAACGTTGTGTTTGTATCGGTATCGCTCATGAGCACCTTAATGCA